TAAGTTCTCTAAGTCTCCTTTTGTGATCTAACAGTTTTCTTTCTCTCTTCTTTTCACCTTCCTTATTTTCCATCATTTTATCTTCTATATCACTGATTCTCCCTTCTGTTTCATTCATCCTCGTTTTTATGGCTTTCACTTAGTACTGCTTCTTGGTAATAGCATTTTTAATTCTGGCCTGACTAGATTTTATTTCTTTTATCTCTACCGTAAGGGATTCTCTATTGTCTTCTATGCCTTTTTCAAGCCCAGCTAGTATCTTAATAATCATTTTAAATTCTAGTCCAGACATCTTACTTTTATCTGTATTGATTAAATCCCTGGAAGTGAGTACTACCATCTGTTCTTTCTCTTGGGGTGAATTTCTCTGCCTTGTCATTCTGTCTAGAAAAGAAAGGAAAGAAGAAAAAGAAAAAAAAAACAATAAAAACAACAACAACAACAAAAACTTGAGGAAGTGTTTCTGGTATATGCCGTGTACACCCTGCTATTGCGTTTTGGCTGCTCTTTCCACTGGTCTGTCCCCTACAGAGTTCCTCCTTGCTTGCAGCGGGGAGTGTCTGGACCTTGAACTGGTGTGATAAGCCTGGAAAAGAAAAAAGAAAAGGGAAGAAGGAAAAAAAAAAAAAAAGCCTGATCCAAGAGAAAAGAAAAACAAAAATGCAAACAAACAAACAACCATAAGCCTATTTCCAAAGAATAAGAAAGAAAAAAGAAAGAGTAAGGAAAGAAGGGAAAAAAAAAATAAGAAGCCTGATCCAAGAAATAAGGAAACAAACAAATGAACAAAAAATTATAAGCCTGATACCAAAATAAAAGAGAAGGAGAAAAGAAAAAAGGAAACAATATATATATAAAATAAAAGATAAAAAATGAGAAATAAAAAAATAAAAAATGTAAAAATGTAAAAAAATTAAGGGAAAAAAAAAAGCAGCAGCAGCAAGGCTGGTCCTATTTCCAGCAGATTCTGACGTTTTGGAGCATTCTTTAATCAGTAGATTTGGTACATGCGGCGGCCTGCACTGGTCTTCTGAGGGAGAGGCCTGCTGGGCTGGCTCACAAGCTGACTTGCCCTTGTAAAGATGCCCCTGCCAGGTGAAGGGGAGCAGGGTTTAGTGTAGGGGACTCCAGCCTCCACTGGAGATGCTGTGTTTCTCTGAAGTCTGACTGTGCTGTGGGGGCAGGGGGTAGGGGAAGAGGAAGAATATGGTGTCACCCAGCCGTCTCGTCCCAGGGAGCAGAACTACCGGCCACCGCTGTTCAGGAGGCCCTCTCAGAGAAGCGACCAATCTCCTGTGGCCCTGGCTTTCATCAGTTCCTTGCCCTTAAACTGTCTGTTCCTGGGCCATCAGCACACCTGGCACCACGAATCTCCTGTATTTTATCTCTGGCTGGTGGCTGGGATTCAAAACTCCAAGTTTTAAAAGGCCTGGCAAGGTGCAGGCCCACTCCCCGGCCCTGGAAGAGAGCCTTGTGGCATGCCCAGCGCTGTCCTGTCCCAGAAAAGCAGCGGCACAGAGGCAGACACTGAGAAGCAGCAGCCCGCTTGTCTGTAATCTGCCCAAGTCTCTGCTCTCTGCTCATTTCTGCCACTGAAAAGCAGCCGCTCTGCCTGCACACAGAGGTTTAAGCCTATTGTGGCTTATGGTGAAAATTTAAGAGGTTTTCTGCCCCCTGCACACACCTCTGACCCTGCTGTTGAGCACTGTTCAATGGCTCGCATTGGCCTTTTGTCCTTGGAGAGGGAAAATACGCTCTTCCAAATGTAGTCCAGGAAGGGGGGCGATCTTTCCCAGTGTGACTCAGGGGATCTCCTCACTGTGGCTTATTGGGCAGTCCCTACCCACTGTGCTCTCTCCCACTTTCTCCCTCTCCCTGACTCTGCTCCACAAAAAGTGTTCCCTCCCCTTCACGGCCATGAGGCTTTCCTCTCCAATTCACAGCTCCGAACCTCACATCTACCACATTCTCTCCCTCCAACTGTGTAGATTGTTTCCTTAGTCCTCAGATCATCTTCCTAGTTGTTCAAAATAGTTGGATGTTGATCTAGCTGTGATCAAAGGACGAGGAAAGTTCAGGGTAACCCTACTACTCCACCATCTTAACTCTGCCTCCACACCAGCTACTTTGAATGACATCCTTAGTCTCATTTTATAGCTGAGACAGAGGGACTAACATGGATTTAGTTAAGAAAGTTGATCAAGGCCCCAGGGTTATTAAAGTAGCAGACTAGGGATTAAGGAGACCAGATTGGTAGGGTTTGAACACTAAATGGCCACTGAAACCACATGCACAGGTTATAAAACCTCATGTTCTCAAATGTTATTAGAGAGCTACAGGGAGTCACTCCAAGAATCACAGCTATGGAACTGTTTATTTTGTTTGTTTAAAATAAACTTTGGTGGGGCGCCTGGGTGGCTCAGTCGTTAAGCGTCTGCCTTCAGCTCAGGTCATGATCCCAGGGTCCTGGGATCGA